CCTCTTATAGACATACTAACATGGCTACGTCCTCTCCACGCTATGTCACGGAGGATGTTAGCCATTCAATTATCGCCTCCTTTTCTCGACAAGCGTCAAACGCTTTCTTCAAACTTCATCATCGCAGCCAGGGACACGGTGTTCTCCCACGACTTCTGTCGCGATTCGTCCTTCAGAGAGATACCAACATGGGTCATTACGTCTCACACAGGTCATTACGAAGGACAAAACCCTATCATCATCCATCAGCTCAGTGTCATCGCCTTGCCGCCAATATCACCGGTGTCTCGTACGACCACAAGGATGTTCAACATCATTGAGCCAACATAACGTAAAATACGTTCCATCATCACATGTTGTTTTGTTATCGGCAAAGTAATGCAACCTTGCATAAAGCATGTTCACCATTGCGTTCGACTGTTATCATTGCAGTTATCTGCCCTGTTGACTACCAGATCCTTAGAGAGAGTGCAGTTTAGCCGGTCAAGGTCAATTATCTCGCAGTAAGCAGTATGCTGGTGGTTCACCACTATAACGAAATACGATTTCAAACACAACAGGAAAATCTTTACCATTGCCAGTTGAAGATTCTCATCTCAAAACACAGGGTCTACGCATTTGCCGCTACACCTTTTCTCATCAACACGGAGATCTTTTGAATGATAATATCGTTCGGCTCCGTTGAACTTGCTCTGTGTCTTTTCCTCGGAGCGACACGTTTGAAAGCCATTCGCTTTAGGCGTTGGGCATAATATTGCAGCCAATTACCAGCAACATTCATACCGGCCTTCGTTGGTTAATAGAATAGCTGCAATGTCGCTACCGCAGCCAATATCACGAAGCAAAGTTAATTCATCGTTCAAAATGCTTCAAAGATTCCATATACCAATACACCAAAGATTAGCTTGTCATTAACATGGGCGGTATGGCAGAACATTACAGCAGGTCGCGAAAGCTATATATTGCGCGTATTGCAATATTGCAAAGGATTGTTTTGTTCAACAAAACTGGTTTTCGAGTGTTAATGCTGATTAAAAGCAAAACGAAGGCAAAACACGCGATTTATCAACCTTTATAAAACCTTTTAACGACAAAATAAAATGTAAGTGAATGTTTACACTACGAAAACAGGAAAGAACATTTAAAAACGGAATGAACTTCCAAGATTTCCGAGTATTGGTATTTAGTTTTCGAATGCATACGCATTCGTCACACGCCTTCTTCGGTAACTCCGCCGATGTTAGCAGCGCAGTGTCAGCGACAAAATCAATAACGCGTAAATCGTGCAGCTTTTGGTAAAATAATCTCTGAGTACTAAACGTTTATGGCATTAAAGTCATTGTTTAAAAATCATGACAAAACAGTTATTGAAAGGCGTTAACTTAGCAACAGGGATTTCGTTTATTATGGTGTTTGAACATAAGATGCATTCAAATGCTGGTCGCAACATCATAACGGTTCATGGGTTCATCCGAGGGTGGCTTTTGACGATTCGGCCATGTTGAGATTGCAAGCTTCAAATGGCTCTTAGAAATGTAATTGTAATCGCTGCTAAAGCTAAAACAATAATATTGAAAGATTCGTATAAAATCAATCCTTAATCTTTGAACATTGGGCATATACTTTCCGGTCAGTCGCAGACCTTGTCGTTCATGTTATTGGGCGCATTCATTACTTGCGCTATCGTTAGCAATGCGCACGTACAACCATGGAGAAATATTATAAAAGCCTGTTATTGATTTTCAGCTAGATTTCCACGCAGAAGTTTACGTTATTCGCATTACTCAATAAACAAAGTCCTTACTTGTAAGCTTATTAAACTTTCAGAAATATAATTAGAATATAAGGCGAATATCCGGCACAATAAACAGAACATGTTCATCAGCGTTTTTCCTCTTTAGTTGTACCGCGAGTGTTTCCACTTTTGTAATAAATAGCAAAAACAAAATACAATCATTAATGTATGAGTACCGGTGTTATTAAGCACCACTGACCAAACGAATAGAGTTATCGTTTGAAATAAACAATATTCCTTTTTCCAGATTTTGGAAGTCATAATGATCATATCGTAATACGCACGTTTTCACAGCCCGAACTCAAATCGGCAAAACCGATATTTGTTTATCATCATCTTCTTCGAATCGTGTCACCAGTCTTCCCCAGACTTCCCATCTCCCAGTATTCATGTCATTGGTCAATACCTGAACAAGTGCAGTTAACAACCGATCGAGCGCATGTAAGGCAGTACATGCTCGTTTCGATCATTAAAACTCGAATTCTGGTTTCAGTGATCTAGCGTTCACTTTATACCCATCGCAGCCTGGACTTTTATGCCCGCTGGTCGATGATGCCAGGACCCTCGCCTATTTTAGCCATCATTATTGCTTCAACGATGATTAACATATTTCGACGTTTAACGGTTGGTAGCCGTTGAAACGAAAGCCTGTAGTGAAGATTTTAAGCGGTGATCGATCGTTATCGTTGTTATTCATTTGTCCATTAACCGTTAACTTCATCGCTGTTATTTTCTCGTGGCCAGATCGCGATCGCGATAGACGGCGCGGATGCTGATCGGGTGAAGCCGGTTTGAGTTTAAACGGGCCCTTTATGTTAGTAAGAAATTTTTCCACCAGATTTTGGCATACCTGGAAGACTCTCCGAAGAAACCCTAATATCGAGCTGGCGAATAAAAGTCTCGAACTCGATAAACTCCATAATTACTCACCATGCTCATTCGAGCCACGTTCATAGATTCAGCCAAAGTCAGAAAGTTGTTAAAGTTGTTTTCGTAACATAGCACAGGTTCCGTCAGATTAAGTTAATCATTGGGAAATCATCAGCGATTTCGGTTTTGCATCATCAGCCAGATTGTGGAGACAATATATTCTCGTGTTAAGGCCCGACAGTTCTGTGAAATATTGGCTCATTTATTGAAATTTTCAATCATGGAATGATGCACAGAAGTACCGAATGATTAACAAAATGCAATGAAATGGCATTGAAAGCAATAATAGACTTACAACATCAGCATACCGCGAAATAAAGTCGTACGCATTGATGCAAATGTTAACAGCCATCTTCGTCGCTTCGAGGAAGCGCGGCGAATCATTCACAAATGCAAAGCTTTTCATTAAAACCAGATTGATCAGTCGAAGTTTGTGCCGTTGCGGACGTTTCGCCTTTAACGCTGCTCGGTGTCATCCATAGCATGGAGCAAAATTACCGTCGTTCCGCATTCAATGGGGATTAAGATCGGGTGCTAGCCAGTCCATATGTGATGTTGTTGATCTGAAACAACATCGTTAATCGTAATTTCATTTCGGCCATTAATATACATGGACGGAAGATACGTTATTAAAAGTTTATGAATATTTAGCGTGAAATATAATGATCAGGCGCATGCGTGAAGAGCGGTGCATACTCAGTCTCCGGTCAATAGTTTTGGCATGCAGTTTCGAGCGTGTTGTGTTCGATTATGCCAGTCAATGTTATCAGATAAACAGCCGACAGTCACCGGAAGCGTTGGCGTACTTCGGACATTTGGCTTTGATGTCGGCAAAATGCCATCAAAATGATAAGATATTACATCGAAAATGTCGCTTATTTTTGTGAGGAGTACACATGAGAAACACAAAGCCCGGCCCATAATGTTGTGAACGCTTTGCTTTCAACACCTGTTCATTCAAAACATTACAAGGAATTTTGACAACCATAGCCGGTCAACACCATCAACACCAGTCAATCATTGAAAAGCGAAGTATTTAACGCCGCTCAGCAATATCGCATCACGTTGTATCATGTCACGCACCGTAACATATAATGAATAAGTCGTTGGGAAAGACGATTTAGCCATCATCGCGCTTAGGGGAAAAAGAGAAAAACAGTCGCGAAGAATCGAAACTGTTGAAGAAAGCCAATATATTCACCGTGAGCCCGTTATCAGCCGTACCACCGTATCAGCTCACCGTATCTGGTCGTTCGCCTTCAGTATACCACCGTGCATCATATCGTTCGCCTTCCCGAATGTAACACCGCGATCATCGTCTACCTTCCCAGCGTACCACCGTGATCATAACATCTTCCGTACCACGCATCACCTGGCTCTTCCACCGTATATCATCTGCCTTCCGAAGCGTATCATCATACCTTCCCAGTAGCGCTCCACCGGTGATCAACAGCCTGCCTTTCCCAGCGTGTGTTTCCACCGTGTTCATATCACTACCTTCTTCAGTACCACCGTGATTCACCGTGTTCATATCATTCAGCACCACCGGTGATCATATCATCTACCTTTCCCAGCGTACCACCGCATCATAATCATATCTACCTTCGGGTATGTTCATATCATTCGCCTTCCGTACCACCGCATCATATCACTGGCCTTTCCTGGCGTACCGCACTGGTCATCAACAATAGTAGCGTTCACCAAAACAGCGATCACCAGCATGTGTTCCACCGTACCAGTGTACCGTGATCAAGAACACCGATTGAGCCGTTTCACCGAACCCCATTCTACGTTACCGTTCGTTGTCACATAGCTGTTCTGCATTGTTCATCCACGGGCTTCGGTGAATGACAGTATTGGTACATTGTTCCTCCATGAACATGCCAGTTGTTTACCTGCGCCGCTTCCGGAGTTGTAAACATACTTCCGACGCATCTTCATCTGATTTGCGCTGAATGAAAAGTTATCGCTGGCACGGCTTTTTAAAATATGGTGTACAGCAGCGCCTGCTCATCTCACACGAAGTAAAGATAGACGGGCGTCTCTTTCGCAAAGCGTTGCCGAAATAGAAAAGCCCTGGCGCAGCGACCGAAATTTCGCGTTTCCGTTCGGCATAATGGTAATATTCAAAATAAATAATGCCTTCATAATCATTACAGCTCTTCCCTCATTTGAAATACATCAACATGAACATATGCCTTCCTCATATCTTCACGTCTTTCGTGCGCCGTTGAAATGGTCAGACCGTTTCGTCATACAGTAGACTGATAGCCAGATGTCACCAGAACACTACGCATGGCATATGCAGCAAGGTAATGGCATGGGTCATCGGGTCAATATCGTTTATAAAGTAGTTCGAGCTGCTTGTCTTCGGTTCTTTTCCTTCGCGATCGCCGCTAACTTACCACGTACAGTTCTTTGCTCTTCATTGCTTATTCTTTAAAGCCAGGCACCGAGAGGACAGCGCCGCGCCGTATCGCCAGCCTTCCAAGTCGCTAACACGGCGATCGTCATACAACATGCCAACATGCCATTCACTATGCACATTTACTTCAATGAATTCCTCATTGGTTTATCATCAACTAAACATACCGGTCAAAGTTTTAACCTGTCAGAATATGCTCGTCGATCTAAAACGCCTGGGGAAGTAATCACGCCAGTGATACAAACGGAAAGCGTCTTATCTTCTCATCATTTTCAAAAATATATTTTGCAATATTTAACATGGCGGTAGAAATGTTTGCAGCACATCGCATCGTACTAAGTTATGTTAATACCATTTTTATAATAGCGGCCCCGAAAGCTCATAGAGAGTTATTCGGTATCGCTACTCAAATGTTCAGCTAACCAACCTTCTACGAATACGGTGCATTTCCGCCGAACTCGTTTATGACGCCAGATATCGTTTACCGTTGGGCAGCGATGGTCTGCACTAGGATCAGCCTCTGCCTTCGTTGGGCGTTAATATAGCCGTAGCGGCAGTCGTTTTGCGGGCAGAAAATTTTCGTGCTGCCGCAGCCGCTGCGCCACGCAAACAATGGGTAACAGTATCGTTCACCCTAGGCGATGAAGGGTGCCGCCAACGAATTTATCTAAGGTCATGCTGGGCTGTTTGCGCCCGAACTCAGTAGTTCAAACAGAATGCCGTATGCAGAAATACAAAGGATGAAACAATTGCTGATGCACCAGCGCTAACCGTTGAAAGAATGCCACCATAAACACATTAATTGGCAAGCAGTTTGGTCGCAAAGCGAATATCGCCGTACGGGTCGTTTACAGTGGCGACTATGCAAACTCCGAACAAAGATGATGGCGCAAAAGTTATGCCGCTCAACCAATAAGAAATTCGTACAGAGTCGATCGCACAATGACGTATCGAATAGCAATATTTACCAGCAGCCAGCATTTCGCGGGGGTCATGCAGATGACAGAGTATCGGGCTTATGACCCACTTCCTTCATGCAATAGTGATGGAAAATAGTGTTCGCGGCAGGAAGGAGAGGTTCATATCTCCGCTCGCGAGCGTTTAGTCAATTTAAAGAATGGAACGCAGGCCGTCGTATCGAATTGTTGAGCCGATCAATAAGATCACCGAAATAAACCATTTCTGTCATCATTCCTGAAATACGTGATGTTATAGTCACTTCAGTTCAAGCAGCGGTATGACGATCTTTGTCTGCGGCACAATTAAAACAGCGAATCAATAGGCCAGCTGTACGATATAGCAGACTATTAGAAAGCTGGTATCACACAAAGCCTTCGCGAAGAAAGATTGTTTGTCAATTTACGGAACTGAATGAATCAAAGTCGATAAAGCTGATTAATCGCCGGTAAGCGGGTATAATAGGAAGGCAAGTGTTTCGACGTTATTGAACAACATTAAATCAATTATGTACCAGCTAAATAAACTCAATAAATACAGTTTCGTTTTGTGCAGAACCTCTGACGCTTCGTCAAAAGAAATATGATCCGCATCAGGCCTGGGGATACCATTATCGTGTATTGCTCCTTAGATTTTGTTAAAGATAAAGTCAATGAGAATTCAGCATTTTCAATATTACCAAGTTTTTTCGGTCGGACATATGATTATTTTTGACAAGCGACCTGAAGATAGATATAGGTCTTCTAACCATCATTATTTGTCGAATGCCCTGACTGAAGAGGACTGTAGTCATATTACAGCGTCATTTGTTTCCAGTTAGCATTATTGATTTAGACTGAGGAGTTTTTGTTTGTGATCTCTTGAAAAGCGACTCTGGAGGTGATTCCTTCCCTTGATGGGGCTGTGACTTGACTGTCATTTCCACCAAAACATCCTTTACAATCTTCTCTACATGTACTCTTTTCCTGTGTTCTCCATTGATTACATAGAAAGCTCCACCAACACAGTAATGCTCATCAAGGGTTATCAGTTCAGGAAATTCTTCCAGGAAGGGATTTTCTATCGAAGCAACTCGTGCCACATAAGTTGTTGACATAGGTCTTAAATGTCTGCTGTGTAGCAAAGCCTTGTTCAATGCTTCCTGTGAAAACATTTGATTGTTCAGCGTTCTATACCACTGTCCCACATGGCAAACTTAAGGGAAATTTTCATTCCTTGATTCATGGGGCATTTGTAAACAAATGTGGTGTACACGGACACCTACATATCTATCTTCAGAGGTTCAGGACAATTTGTCAAACATAAAAGCATATGCCAATAGTAGTTTACCGAGAAAACAGTATGTGAAATGCTGGGTTTTCTCATTGATAACATCTTCGTAAAATCTAGGGGTAAACATTTTGACATGAAGTTGGCATCCCCATGGGCACCAATCGCGCTACAGTCCTGGCGGATCTGTTTCTTTTGGCATATGAATCAGAATTTCTGCATATGCTGGCAAAATCAAAACAAGGGTAATTTGGCCAAGAAGTTTAATTTAAGCTTCAGGTGCATAATTGATTTAATATTGTTCAACAACCATCAAATACACACTTGCCTTCCACTGATTTACCTCGCCTGAACTTGAAATTAAGGAGACAAGTGAGACCGCCCCGACTGATTCGTATTTAGTTCCATGCATAAAGCTTCAGTGTGACAAGAAACTCTTCACAAGGCTGTGTGACAAAAGGGATGATTTCAACTCCCCAATACTCTGCTATATCGAGCAATATTCCAACAGCTCTAGCCTGTGGTGTTCTTCTTTTGTGAATACTTTTCACCAAGATTTCAAAGAGCGTCATACCACTCTTGAACTTGAAGTTGTTCGATCAAGGTTACAACATCCAAGGCCTCTGTAAAGATTTCAAAATGTTTTATGGTAGACATGTGGAGGACATTTCGAAACTTGACAAAAATGATGTCCGGTGCAATTCTCTATTTTGACTTGATCCATACGTTCCCGAATTATTTCAGGTGAACAATTGACTAAACTTTGCATTTGTTTATGACGGGTGCCACCGGTGGGGCAGAATACGCTCACCTTTTTGCGAACACCTGGTACCATCACTATTTCATAGTGATTCATAAAAACATGATCTGTCGTCGTATTGCATGACCACAATCACTTTATAGCTTGGACTCCATTTGCTGACAAAGAACAACGTACAGGGTAATAATACTGCTGAAACAAAATGTATATTCATGATACAGTCATTGTACAGTCGACTCTGCTTTTAACACAGATTTCTTGTGGATGTGGAAAGCGTTTGGCGCTTCTTTTGCGCCATCAGTCTTTGATCAGGTTTGCATGGTAGGTCATACTGTAAAAACGTTTGTGAGACATGGTTCTGTGATATTTCCTTTGCAATTAAATATATCACCTATAGTTAATGTGTTTATGGTGGCGTTCTTTCAACGAGTTGTAGCTGAATTAAATCAATATCATGAATTGGAACTGTCTAACTGTATTTCTTATACAACATTCTGTTTAGTTCCTAGGTTCAGATAAACGAAAATGTAGCCATGACATAAAGATAAATTCGTTGTAGCCTCATCACTCGGGGTGAACGGTCTGGCGTACCCACCGTGTTGCGTGTATATGGCGTAAGCTACACGGCAACACAGAGGGTACATCGCACCGTACACCATTCGTGATGCCGCTACAGCGTGCATTCTATTTTACTCCGTAATTTGCTCTATTAACACCCAACAGAGAATAGAGGAGCTGGAGTCCCTCGTCTGGATATCTTTGCTACTGAAGACAGCGGGTTTGTCAGTGAGGGAAGCAGTCTGGCATCCTCAAACAGGAGTTCAGTTATCCGGAGAAATCAGAAGCCTGAAGTTCACCGTGGTGTCAAGATAAAAGAAGGTTTGAAGAGGTTCTTCACGTTTGGACGACAAAAACAGAGAGGTAAGCGCTTGTGTGAGGTTAGTTAACTCCTCTATGAGAAACTTTTCAGGATATATAATATAAATAGTATGCTGCTCTTTAGGGTAATACGGTCTGATGTACGCCTTACAACGTACAAAACGTATTTATCCTACCGCCATGTTAAATGTACAAAATATATTTTTTTTTTGAAAATGTTGAAGATCGATAAGATTGCTTCCGACTATATCACATGTAAACAAAATGGCGTGTGCCTCTAGATTGGATTTTAAGATCATTGAAACATATTCTGATAGGTTTAAAACTGTTAATTATGTTTAAGTTGAGTGTGCAAAGGATTCAATGTATAAAATAGCTTAAATAATGCAGTGAAATTCGGTAAATTAAATGTGTACATAGTGAACTCAAAACAGCTCATGGAACGGGCACTGCATGTGTCATATTATGACGTCATACCATTGTTAGCGATACAGTTTCTCGGCGGAGAGTTTGGCGGTTACCGTGGCAGCGGGTAATATTTTTCCACTTGTCACTCTCCTGGGAGGGGACACGGAAACTTGTTAAAAGGGTCACTGAACAATGAAATTAAAGTATTTTACATTAAGGTAAGTTAATGGCTGGCAAATCCCAGTCACCGGGGAAATAGAACCAGAGACTAAAATAACCAGACTACTTGCCCACCAAACGACCTCCAATGGACAAAAAATATTGTGTGTTATGCCATTACTATACTGCTATACACATGGATATGCCATACGTAATTTACTCGTGTTCTGGGAGTGACATCACAGTATGTCAGTCAGATCCTACTGTATGAGCAAAAGAGCGGTCCTGTGCATTTCCAACAGCTTTTGAAAGACATGAGAGATATGGGGGAAAAGGCATATGGACCATGACATTTGTATTTCAAATGAGGAAGAAACATGTGAATTATTAAAGAGGCATTAATTTTGTTTATCATCATTTGAATATTACCATTGTATGAACGGAGAGCACATGTGCGCAAGGGTGACTGAGATGCTTGCACCTTATAGGGAGCTTTTCTATTTCATCCTTTGCTTTGCAGAAGAAGTTGCCCGTCCTATTGCACTACTGCGTGTGGGAAACAGTAGGGATGAGCAGAATCCTGAGGCTGCATGGAGTTTGCCTACACCAGGTATAACATTTTAAAAGCCGTTAATACATGATAACATTTTTTTCATTCTTTATCACAAATCAAGACAAGAATGCTGAGTAAGTGCGTCGAGATTTATGTTTACACAACTCAGGCGAAAGAATGTACAAGGTAACAATAGTATGATAAAGTCAATGGGAGAGGATTAATGTACAAAAATACTGTACATTCACGAAGCCAGTGAGATAGGATTAATGTACAAGGATAACTATGTAATAACGAAGACAATAAGATTAACATGAATGGGGTTCAGTTAAGCAATAATCCAATCAATAAGCGCTCAGTGGTAGATGATATGATCACAGTGGAGTACATACTGGGAAGGTAGATGATATGATCACAGTGGAGTACACACTGGGAAGGTAGATGATATGATCACAGTGGAGTACATACTGGGATGGTAGATGATATGATCACAGTGGGAGTACACACTGGGAAGGTAGATGATATGATCACAGTGGAGTACACACTGGGAAGGTAGATGATATGATCACAGTGGAGTACATACTGGGAAGGTAGATGATATGATCACAGTGGAGTACACACTGGGAAGGTAGATGATATGATCACAGTGGAGTACATACTGGGAAGGTAGATGATATGAACACAGTGGAGTACACACTGGGAAGGTAGATGATATGATCACAGTGGAGTACACACTGGGAAGGTAGATGATATGATCACAGTGGAGTACACACTGGGAAGGTAGATGATATGATCACAGTGGAGTACATACTGGGAAGGTAGATGATATGATCACAGTGGAGTACATACTGGGAAGGTAGATGATATGATCACAGTGGAGTACATGCTGGGAAGGTAGATGATATGATCACAGTGGAGTACATACTGGGAAGGTAGATGATATGATCACAGTGGAGTACACACACTGGGAAGGTAGATGATATGATCACAGTGGAGTACATTCTGGGAAGGTAGATGATATGATCACAGTGGAGTACATACTGGGAAGGTAGATGATATGATCACAGTGGAGTACATACTGGGAAGGTAGATGATATCACAGTGGAGTACATACTGGGAAGGTAGATGATATGATCACAGTGGAGTACATTCTGGGAAGGTAGATGCCTCTGCCTAATGGCTGGCTTCTTTCTTTGGATTTCGATTCTTTCTTGATGTTTTCTCTTTTCCCCTAAAGCTTAGTGGTGAAAGCGTTCGCTCGTCACGCCAACGACCCGGAGTTCGATTCCCAATATGGTTACAGTGCGTGACGCCCATTTGTGGTGTCCCCAACATGATTTTGTTGGAATATTGCTAAAGGCGGCGTTAAACTAACTTCACTTACTCCAATGATTGATGACTGGTGTTGATAATTCTGGTTTGTTGACAGGAAACATAGTTGTCAGGATTCCTTTATGAAATGTTCTGAATGGGCAGATTGACCAACAGAGGTCTTGTGTTCCTGTATTGTGTTGGCTGTGGGGCCTCTATCACATGTATACTCCTCACAAAAATAAGCAACAAGTATTTTCAGTGTAATATCTTTATCAATTTTGATAGCAATTTTGCCGACATGTTACTGAAAGGTAAATATTCAAAGAATACATAACCTTTAGTGACTGTCAAATTGATTTATCTGATAACATTGACAACATAATCCGAACACAACCACACTCAGAAACAACATGCAAAATGTGTGGGATGAATGTGCACCACTCTTCACACATGCACCCTGATCATTGTAAACCTACCTGTAATCATTCCTCTGGCACAACAAGCGGGTCCTAACTTCATTTTAATGGGTGATAATGCCCGTCCATAAATGATAATGGCCGAGAATGAGTTGTTAACGATGTTGTTTAGATCAACAACATCACACATATGGACTGGCCTGCAAGGTCACTTGATCTTAATCCCATTGAACATGCTTGGGACATTATTGGAAGTCGTGTTTACGGTCTCCATGTGCACCCCCAGACTCTGGATGACCTTGAGCAGGCGTTACAGAGAATGGCAGAACATTCCACAACAGCAACTTTAAAGGCTCATTTGGTCAATGCAAAGACGTGTAGAAGCTTGCATTTGTGCTCATGGTGGTCATACGCGTTACTGAACACTGCTTCACTGTCCAAAACTGACTTGAACCTTAATGTTAACATTTTGCTCCATCAATGCAGCACATTTTGCACGACTGTTTCGCGGGTACATGCTTTTGATGATTTGTAAGTCTATTATTGCTCAATACCATTTCATTTCATTTTGTTAATCGTGTGTATACATATTTAACACTTCTATTGCATCATTCCATGATTTGAAATTTCAATAAATGAAATTGTAATGAGACTACAAATTTGTGTTGCTTAACTTTTTTGTGAGGAGTATATTTGTCTCCACAATTGTCTGAGGGGGAACGATGTGTGTACAAAGGTATTGGAATCGCTGATGTGGGATTTTCCCAATGGTGCTTGTAGTCTGACAAGGTTCTGTGCTGTGTTGCAGAAACCTAAGCCCCCGAGGGAAATAACTGTACTCTGACTTTGGCTGGATCTTTATGGACAGTGGCTCTGGCATAGGGGTGGGAGTGGGGCGTATGGGCATGGGTGGGGTTGGGGTGGGAGGTTATGGAGTTTATGGGGTTCAGGTTTTGATTGCAGTGTCGTCTATTGCACTATCAATGTGGGTTTCTTGGAGAGTCTGTATTTAGCGGTCTTTTTAGGATATACCCAAAATCTGGTGGAGAAAACCATAAGACAACCCCTTGCTATAAAGCAAAGGGCCCCGTTCCCAAACTCAAACCAGCCCCTTCACCCACCTTCGTCAACATCCCATATTCCACTACCAGTCACCTGATCCACTGATCACGAAAAAGGCAAATACACACTGCAGAAAAATACTGAAAACATGTCAACTGTAAAGGTTGATGAGGGAAGTTAATCTTCAGGACAATGGACAAATGGATAGCAGATGACCAGCAGATCAGATCCTGCCTTGCAAAATCTTCACCCCAGACTCGTTTTCAGCAGCTCTATACCTGCTGTAAAATCAGATCGGCACTTAAACTTAAACTGTTCAAGTCTCAGGAAATATGATGAAACAGGATGTTGTGTATCGAAAACATTTTCCAAAATTGCATCGTTGAACTCAATGTGGTCATCAAATATTAAACAGGGATTCACAAGTCTCCATCATCTGACCATTCAGCTGGGCATAAAAGTCAAACGGCAGTGATAAGTGAACACTAGATCACTGAAAACCAGAGATACCAGGTTTTTTGTGTCAAAGAGCAGACATGTCCTGCCTTACACATGCACTCGGTCAGTTTGTTAACTGCACTGACCAGGTGGTATTGTGAACGCATGGTGCATATAACACTGGGAGATCTGGGAGATCTGGGAGACTGAGAGACACTGCGAGATCTCTTATTTTGATTTGATTGTATCTAGACGTTGATGAGGGAATGTTGTGAAACAGTAGTATGGTTATATGTAGGGCTGCGCAATATAATCAGTTTACCGGTATTTACAGGTTCAGACATGAAAACGATACGTATTGCGATACGCTGATCGAAAACCGCATTCATGACCAAGCCAAATAGTGACTCGTGCCCCCTCTGGAAGGATTTCATATTGGAACATCAGAACTACTTCAAACGATAACTCTATTCCTGTTTGATTCCAATGGTACTTAATATCACCGAAGTACTCATACATTGTATTGCTATTTTGTTTTTTGCTATTTATTCTAAAGAATTAAACCTCCTTGGTACAACTAAAAAGAAAGGAAAAACATATTTGTTAAAGACATATTCTGACGTAATTATTGCCAGATATTCACCTTATATTTCTAATTATATTTCTGAAAAGAGTTTAATAAACACAAATGGGATTTGTTTTTTATTGAATATGCAAATAAACTTTGTAAAAACCCTCTACATTAAATCCCAAAGCAGCAGAACTCCAATAATGACTTTTATAATATTTCTCAAACTGAACATACGTGTAACCTTGCTGTCATAGCAATAAAGTGAACTGAATTCGCTGAAAAATGTATGAATGACCACAAGGTCTGACTAAAATATTCCCAGAGGGGTGAAATATATGCCCAATGTTAAAGATTAAAGTTGATGAGTTACATACAGATATAATATTATTGTTTTGAAACTTGCCAGCGATTTATAATTACATTTCCTAAAATTGTTGGAAGCGCACATTACAATCTCCATAGCAAGCCCGCAAGATCGTCAGAAACACCCTCAGTTGGACCCATGAGAGCCGTTATGTCAACAAACGCACGTGCGTTTATTTGAATCTCTCTCGCCGTCAATCGCATGATTCTAACAAAAACACCATAATAGGCAGAAAATCCTGTTAGCTAAGTTCTTTGTACTTTCAATATGACGATATATAGTTTTCATGATTTTTTAAACAATGACATAATGCCATAAACGATTTAAGTACTCAGGATTATTTTTACCAAAGCACTGCAGTCATTTACGCGCATTCTGATTGGTTTGTCGTATTTTCGCACATAACAAGCATCGAGAGGGGGACGAGTCTTCTTGCAGGTTACGGAAAGGGGCGAGTGGTGACGAATGCGAAAACCGGTATTTTGACATGCATTCGGAAAACTTCGTAATACTCGGAAATCTTGGGATATTTCCGTTTTTTTAAATGTTCTTTTCCCTGTTTCATTAGTGCCAAATGTTACTTACATTTTTATTTTGTCATGATTAAAAGGTTTTATAAAAGGTTAATCAATCATAGTGATTTTGTTGTGTTTTTGCTTTAATCAAGCATTAACTCGATTATAAGTAGTTTTTGTTGAACAAAATAATCCTTGCAATATATTGCAATACATATCGCAATATATGCTTCCGCATTGCAATATAACGCAATATGAAAATTCTCTGCAATACCCACCCCATGTTATGTGGTAAATTTCTTAATCTTGGGTGTGACGGGATATATTGTTGATTCGTATATGGAATCTGAGAACATTTTGGACAGTGAGATTACAACTGCTTCGTGATAGTATTACTTGATGTATTAGTATGACATTGCAATGTGTGTAAGTAGAGGGTAGACAGTATGGAAGGAATGTTGTAGTTTGTGAGTAATTTGAAAACATAATAATTATACCCAACTTATAAAGCGAATAGCTCAAACGTAATGTGTGCTCGAGAGACACAAATAAGTTCTTCAGTTTAGTCAGTGAAGTTGGAATAGTGTCTATTATCGGGACTTAAAGATCTCAAATGTTGGAGGCATTCCAAGTGAAGAAGGTCTTAACTTGTAACAAATACGTAGATTGTGTGACAGGATGGGAATGGGTTCAACTGAAGTAAGTAATGTAAATGAGTATTTGTTAAGGTATTTACTGTTCCTCCCTGTTGTGACATTGAAATCATTGTGTTATAGTGACACAGACGGGTCCACAAGTGGATACAGACATCCATACTGCCTGCAAGATGGGTGACCTTGACCGGCTAAGCCGCATCCTATCTAAGGATCTGGTAGACGTCAACCGTAGAGGGGAGGGCGGATTAACACCTGCAATGATAACAGCACAATTCGGACACAGAAGAATGGTAGACATGCTTGTGAGTAAAGGTTCTGCATTGCACCTTCTTGCCGATAACAAAAACAACATCCTTCATGTGGCCTGTATTGGAGGACATGTTGACATGGTGAAGTATGTCCTCTCAATGAATGTTGCAGACATCAACAGTAGGGTCAGTACGAGAGGACACCAGTGATGATGGCAGCAAAGAATGGAAACAGAGCGGTATTTGACTTTACTTGTGAGAGAAGGAGCTGATGTATCATTAGTGGATGATGATAGGGACAACATCCTTCATGTGGCCTGTCTTGGAGGACATGTGGCCATGGTGAAGTATGTCCTCTCACAGAAGGTTGCAGACATCAACAGTAGGGGCCAGTACGGGAGGACACCCGTGATGCTGGCTGCAGGGAAGGGACACAGAGAAGTGTTTGACGTACTTGTGAGAGAAGGAGCTGATGTATCATTAGTGGATGATTACAGAGACAACATCCTCCATGTGGCCTGTATTGGAGGACATGTAGCCATGGTGAAGTATGTCCTCTCACAGAAGGTTGCAGACATCAACAGTAGGGATCAGTACGGGGAGACACCCATGATGGGAGCAGCAGTAATGGGACACAGAGAAGTGTTTGACGTACTTGTGAGAAAAAGGAGCTGATGTATCATTAGTGGATGATAACAGAAACAACATCCTCCATGTGGCCTGTTTTGGAGGACATGTGGCCATGGTGAAGTATGTCCTCTCACAGAAGGTTGCAGACATCAACAGTCAGGGTGAGTGCGGGAGGACACCCCTGATGAAGGCAGCAAATATGGGACACAGAGAAGTGTTTGACTTACTTGTGAGAGAAGGAGCTGATGTATCATTAGTGGATGATGACAGAAACAACATCCTTCATGTGGCCTGTATTGGAGGACAGCTAGATATGTTGGAACATGTTCGCAAATTGGATTGGTTGGACATCAACGCCATTAATATTCATGGCCAAGCATTGGAAGATCTTTTCCTCAACACATTGGAGCAGTGATGCCTGATAGAAAGCAAACAGTGACATTGTTGGTCTTAAATATTGTCATTTTATCGACCTATTTTAGGAGCAAACCTTGTTTCCCAATGTGTTAAACTTGTAGATCAGAACGTTAGTTATAGATGATGACACTTAACTTACAATCTATAGATCCTATTGATAATTTAGCAGTCCATCAGGATCTTACGTTTTCTCACAATTTTATCCCTAGTGATCCGCTTAGAACAATATGTATTACGTATCCATAGATAAGGTCTAGGTTCAACATGTAGTATTTTTCATACTACAAATGTCAAAGAATAGTAGTATTGTAAGAAGTTTTTAAATATTATAGAAATCTGTAAATATTTAGTTTGGACTCGTTGTCAAGTTTCTTTACTTTCAAAACCACGATAATCACACCCTGTGTAACCACATGGACTTCAGAGATTAGCTTATATACTTTCTCTGCTTGTTGCGAGAATGTTGAAGCTGCACTTGTCCATACATGTATAAACAATTTGATGATATTTGGACTAAAACGTAACCTTCATTTCTTCTCAATAACTTTTTTCATAGTTTCATAAAGTAGTAACCATTCTCAAGCAGAATTATCTGAGATTTATTAATGTTGAACGAAAGACCCCACCACAGATAATTCATGAAGTAAACCAATAAATATTTTGGTCTCATGGCTAACTCCAATAATCGGTGCAACTAAAAATTACTAATCCCTAACACGTGCATTTGCAGATTTAGGAATTTATATATACAAACATGAATGTGTACATAAGTCTGTCTGTCTCAACATTTTTATGGTTCAGTAAAAATGTTAAAACTTGATGATGGATTTACCTGTTATTTCAACCAGTCTATAATAAATTGTATGTGATATATGACATGTCTTGAATGTTTACTACATTTCCCATACAACAATAAGGAATGATTTGCTAACATTTTAAAAATATCGTTAAGTAATGTTCTGCCAATGTATAATTGCTATCTTTTCCATTTCCTTAAATCCAGTACATAAGTATTTCTATATTTGTCATGTGTAATGTTTTAAATGCTACCCCTGAGGTCATATCAGATTTTGGTGATTTTATATTGAAAAGGGCGGTGGGACAACGAGCACAGCAAAGCTTTGATCCATGTAGGTTGGTCTGGGTGCTATCATTCATGCAGGTAGATCATTATATGAGTTAACTACATTACCCTCACTGTTATAAGACATATATTCTACATTTCTAAATTCCTAATTTCATCGAGATATGTCACTACGATCAATTAAATACAATAACTGGGGATAAACTGTTTACATGGTTTGAGGCTTTAACAAGAATTAGATAATTCGCACAAAGGATTGATGAAGTATCATGATAAAGAACATCAACTATACTACACACACTTTGCTAAGGATCACAAGAATTCGCAACTTTACTAAAACGAAGATTGATAATTTGAATTTGTATCCCTTTAAAACTGGATAAATAATGCTATGGTAACACATCTTTAGGAAAACAGCCACATTAAGCTAACCGTATGCACTTGATACATGAGTAACAGTAAAAGTGGTTTTCATGGCACCAACCAACCCTTATGCAAATCATGGCACGAGTCATTGACAAGTACACAACATCTGTCAATAGCAGGTAGTTAAATCAATGATTTGATCCCTTAGCAAAGTGTGAATAGTATATATTCATTCCATTTGTTTTGCGCCGGCGTTCATAAACCTAACCAATTCTTTTGACAAACGTTGAGGAAAGGATGGGGTACACACCTTCTTATAACATTATTGTAACAATCAGAATGCATTGTTTTCAACCATGCTCAATAAAAACCTAGACTGATCATTATCACATATACTTTGAAGCACCTTGAATTATCTTTCTTCCCCTAAGAAGAACATGACGTAACTTACTGTTCCATTAACCATACCAAAAACTTGAGAAATTTAGGAATTATATGCTTGTACTTGCTGTTCATTGATACTACCACATGGGTACAATGTGTGAAGCCCAGTTCTGGTGTCCCCCTGTTATATATTGCTGAATATTGCTTCAACTAAACTCATTCACTCACTCACTCATTGATACTACCCTAGATATGTAACAGTACAGTAACAGATGTCCAAGTATTCAATTTGAGATAAGTAATATGCACGTAACATGCAAAGTGCTCGAGAAAATGGTTACAATTCTTTTTGTTAAAACTGTACATGAATGCGGCTTTGTACGTCAATATTATGTATTGTATAAACATCAAAAATCATCAATTAACATTGTGTAAACATTAATTGCCCACGTGTGAATATTAACCTTCCTACTTCAATTTCTGTACATAATATGCTTGTTGAAGGCTTTCCTTTCTACACGGAAACATTGCATTTATTGTAATAAAGAAGTTGCATATCCCAAGAACCACCCTTGTTTCTCTTTAGGAAGTCATTCAGAGCAAACATTGCAAAACATGTTTTAAGAATGGGGCACCACAGAAGAAAGAATTCATCTCAATACCATATGACCATGCAGGATTATGTCTTCTCTCGCTTGGCAGTTGATGAAGCCAGAAATTGGTCTTACCCTCATTGAATTAAAAACGTTGGAAACTTCTTTGGTATATCAATAGGCATGTCATCAACAACAGCACACACAAAGTATGATTCTCACAGATTTTATTGACGGGTGAATTAATGGTGCGTGCAAGTGTCTCTGTTGTTTGGATAATGAAATGTTTCTAGCAGACAACATCTCAATCTTAAGTGCTGGGGCCATATCGATCACATCGAAGAACACAAATAATAACATTATCATTTCTTCAGGGTTCTCGTCCTGCATTCAGGTGATTGATGGTGTTCTAACAAATATTCTATAATTCTTCAGAATTCAAAACCTACTAAATACTTCCGCCCGCATCATCAGCAAGACTTCTAAACGTTCCCATGTAACAACACCGTACCAGTGTTGAGAGAACTGCATTGGCTACCAGTTAGGGCCAGAATTGACTTTAAGATCCTCTGTCTGACATACAAGTGCCCTCCCTGGTTTGGCTCCCTCCTACTTGTCTGAACTCCTACATCCGTATGTCCCCGCACGCAACTTGCGCTCAAACACAAAAAATCGACTGGTCATCCCATCCTACAAACTGAAATCCTTCGGACACCGATAAATCTCTTACTCCGCGCCTGTGCTTCGGAACTCTCTCCCATGTGCCCTTAAAAGCTCTGACACAATTGACATTTTTAAGTCTAGACTTAAAACCCACCTTTTCTCAGTATATTATGTATAACTTCATCTGTAAATACTCCAGTGTAAATATTCTGTAGCGCTTTGAGCTTGCCTTAGGGTGTGGAAGGGGCGCATTATAAATATGCATTATTTTTCCTTATCCTGACTCTCATGCTATTTTTGCTTGTCTTCTTCTTTGCTAACACAGTGGAATTGGATAAATTAGTACAATAATTGCAGCGTGAAACAATAGAACATGGTGTAGTACAACTAGGGCATATTAAAATGAGTCAGGATAAGTATAAAACATCAATTTTATTCAGAAAATTATTACATTATTATTATTATTATATTATTATAAATATCCTTTAACTAGTCAATGCCACAGTGTCTTTTGTTAGTTGCCCACCATTGCTGGAGACGCGAGTCACACAAGAGCCTACGCTGGAGCTATAGAAGGCCTTATTGTCCCACATAGTGATCTAAAACATACACTTAAAAGTCATAATCTATAACTTATGCAATTAAGATAAGACAAGCAAGCAAGTAGACATGAAAGAAACTTCATGCATTAAACAATCGGTCATTACTAATGATCCATCATAAAGTGGATTGCCACCTACAGTACGAGATGAAACATCATAGCTTAGAGTAGCGTATACAGAAGGGAAGAAGTATAATGGCTTGGACAGTGAGGCAGGAAGCATCATAGTGTGGACTGGTATATACAGTGAGGGAGGAAGCATCATAGTGTGGACTGGTATATACAGTGAGGGAGGAAGCATCATAGTGTGGACTGGTATATACAGTGAGGAAGGAAGTATCATAGTGTGGACTGGTATATACAGTGAGGGAGGAAGCATCATAGTGTGGACTGGTATATACAGTGAGGGAGGAAGCATCATAGTGTGGACTGGTATATACAGTGAGGGAGGAAGCATCATAGTGTGGACTGGTATATACAGTGAGGGAGGAAGCATCATAGTGTGGACTGGTATATACAGTGAGGGAGGAAGCATCATAGTGTGGACTGGTAT